AGAGTTCCAGTTGCTCCACATCTTCTCCTACACTTGGTCTGGACTGCTTTTGAATTTGAGCCATTTTAGTGGATATATAGTGGTATCTTACTATGATTTTAACTTTCATCTCCCTAATGATGAAGATTCCCAGCAATCTTTCATTTGCTTATTGCCATTCACATTGCATCTTTAGTAAAATTCCCTGTTTTTCACTGGATTGTCTGTCTATCACTGAGCTGCAAGCCTTCCTTATATAGACTAGACGCAAGTCCTTGGTTGGATATACGATTTGCAAGTATATTCATTTCTTCTCTAACTTTTCATTTTTGAAAAATTCTTTTTGCTGTCATATGAAAGTACATTTTTTTTTTTTATTTCCTTTTTCTCCCCAAAGCCCCCCGGTACATAGTTGTATATTCTTCGCTGTGGGTTCTTCTAGTTGTGGCCTGTGGGACGCTGCCTCAGCGTGGTCTGATGAGCAGTGCCATGTCCGCGCCCAGGATTCGAACCAACGAAACACTGGGCCGCCTGCAGCGGAGTGCGCGAACTTAACCACTCGGCCACGGGGCCAGCCCCTGAAAGTACATTTTTACAATGAGTTTACCCAGCAATCTGTGTGAATTCATTTATTAATTCAAGTAGTGTTTCTGTAAATTCTTTTTGATATTTTAATTTACTACGTATCATCTATGAAGTATGATAATCATATTTTTACTTCTAGTCCTTATATCTTTTATTGATTGGTTGATTGATTGATTGCACTGGGTAAAAATCCCTGGAATAATGTTGAATAGAAGTGGTGATATTTGGTATCATTTGCTCATATTTTTATATTTTCAATATTTCACCATTGAGTATAATGTCTCCTATATATTTGTTGTAGACTATTCTATATCACATTAAGGAAGATTCTTTCTATTCCTGGCTTAATAAGAGATTTATGATGTACACATGTTACATTTTGTCAAGTGCTTTTTCTGAACATTCTGAGATAATTATATGACTATGACAAGGCACAGCAGAATTGTGGGGATGATGGAACTGTTCCATATCTTGATTGTTATGTTTTTATGACTGTATTTGTTTGTCAAAATTTACAGAACTATAAAATATAAAGAGTGAATTTTATTGTATATAATTATATCTTAATTTTAAAAATCAGTGCAAGAGCTGTCCTAAGGTCAACACTGACTATTTTTCAACTCTTCTGTAAAAATGTATCTATGTATAACCTGAGCTTTGCCGAACTTCACAAGCCTGCGGGACTAATGGCTTCACACTGTCAGTAACAGGCCACATTTCACAGGTTCTCACCACCAGCTGCTTCCTTACCACCCAGCCCCCAGCAAAATCTCAGCGGCCTCTTGCACATACTGCTTCCACGCGACACTCTGTGTCCCCAAACAGTGGCAACTTCATAGTAGAGTGTCAGCTTTAGAAAACAAAAATACAGGATTACCAGTTAAATTTGAGTTCAGATGAACCACACATAATGTTTCGGAGACATCCGAACGCTGCCCTCCCTCTGGCCCCACCGCTGCGTGATGCACTCGTTGTGACCGTCAGCACCGAGGCTGGCAGTGAGCGTCCTCCTGTGGTACCCTTGAACACAGGGACACAAAATCCTGTGCCTTACTGCTGTATAGGTTTCTAGTATGGCAGATCTTTCCACACCATCTTGCTAGTCTGTCCCCCTGGCATGAGGTAGGGTGAGTCCGTGGGCCCCACTGGGGGGACAGTCACCATGTTCTCTTCATAATCACCCCTCCTCCCCCTGAATGAGAAGGCTTTGCTACCAGGTCAGATTGGCCCTTTGGTGAATCTACTCCCTTTTCGGGGAGCCTGCTCCACCAGACACACCCATACATGTCTGAATATGGGTAAGGCTCCCTCGGGAAACCCCATATACCCACACACATACTGACAAGGTTTCAGGGAAACCCAGCTTACCCCTTAATTGCGTTAATTTTTATGATTGGTCCCTCTATGAAACCTGCAGAATAGGTTGCTACTGATGCAAATGTTGGAAGAGGGTTACCTCTGGAAAGGGTATCCCAGCCAAAGCCCACTGAACATTGACTCCGTCTTTCTGCAGAAAAAGTTTCAGTGGCTCAGCCTGCCAACCAGGGTGAAGGGGGAGGACATGAAAAGAGGCTTTTCGTGAGAGCTTATCAAACTGAGAGCTTATCAAACTGAGATCACACGCGAGCTGAGCTTTGAAGACCGGACAGAGGTCGGGCATCTCCAGAGGTGGGAGACCAGGATCTGCCTGTGTTTGTCATCCCCACCTCTTGATTCTGCTGTTGTTTTCTACTGGTTCAACTTGACACGTGCAACACTTCTCCTCCCCAGGGCTCCGAACTCAGCAAACATCTGAGAGGAGTTGTGTTCATCTGAAATCATATACCTTTCACTCACAGTTATTTTTTTTTTACATGGGCCACTGATTGCAGCTGGCAGTGCTGAAGAGAATTGTGGCCAGAGGAATTTTCCCTGCCCAGGTTTCAGATGCTTTCTATGACCAAGTAATTTCTTAGAACACTGTCACCAATGCCCCAGCACCACAGCTACCCCCAAGTGGAATCCACAGATCCCTTTTCCTCATCTATCTCCTCCAAAGGAATGGCACTCCTGTAGCAAGCAGGAGTCAGGCTTGTATCCTTGTGCCCCAGGCTACCAGGCTTAAAGTTTTCTTACAGCACTTGGAGTTTGCAGAGGGCTTTCCCATATATCATCTCATTTAATCCTCACTCCTTACAAGGAGAAGCATAATCTGCATTTTTATATTAGGCATTTGAGGCTCAAAGAAGCTAAGGAGCTTGAGCAAGGTCAGTGATTGTCAGAGCTGGGATTCAAGTCTTGGTCTGTAGGATCCAGATTCATCCTTTTTACACCCAAGCAGAGGCCAGAAAGTGGGATCATCATCTATATTGTACTTGGCACCTGCGATGTTTCAAATACATTTGAGCCAATGTTTTAAGATTCCGAAAAGTCATGGAGAGCTCTGGATCTGCATTTTCTTTTCAAAAAGAAGATCTGGTGATCAGGCTTGTATTCCCACTCAATAGCGATCAACCATAGCTAGCCAGCAGCTACCTCCTTCAGTCTAGAATGTAGGCTCCCGTCTGTTCCAGTGCCCATCACCTCTCCTGGTATCCCAGGCGCTGAGATTGAGTGTTGCTACCATTTATCAGGATGCTCAGACTGCTGTTTCTCATTTTTTAGGAAAGAAATATTTCTTTGCACCTATGACTCTATTGAAATCAGGAAAATAACAAGACAGATTGAGAGAACCTCGTGCTTCCAGAAAAATGGTCCGAGCTATTTCTTTTGGTAGATAAAGTCTAGTATCACGTGTTTAACATGAAAACAAAGTGTGTCTGCCAGAAGAACATGCCCCGTTGCCTTCTCATGTCTCAGGAACCTACCTGGCTCCTGTGAGCATTTGACCTTCTAGTCTTCACACTGCCCCAGGTTGGCTCCTGAGCAATTGTAACATGTTCGTAACGGGTCCCCAGGTCTCCTGACTCTCTCCACGTTCATCAGCTACATACCAACTTTTACACATTTTACACCTTTACAGTCATCAATGGTTCACTATTGCTTTCAGGATAAAGTCCATCCCCTTAACTTGATGTTAAAGGTTACAGGCCAACACTTTCCCTCAATAGACTCTTGCTGGCCATAGGCTCTGAAATCCAGCTGTAGTCCAATTCAATTCAATTCAGTTCAATTTAATTCAATTTAACTGGTTGCATAATCACAGCTTACTTTCTAAGTATGAGGCAATATGCTTGACCCAACAGGAGGAAAAGAGAAGGAGAACAGAATGCCCCTCAGAGTACCTGAATTCTACAAATGAGGACAAATTTCAAACTCAACTCAAGTGAAGAGGAAAGTCATGATCATCAAAGAGAGATGTCTTTAGGGTTCTGAAGAGGAAGAGATTTCTTTTGATTGGCCTGGGACTCTCTCCCTTCAATCTGCTGTTCCCTTAGCTGACCAGTTATTTCACGGCTGCCCAGCACCTTGTGTGACTCCACCAACACACAATTGCTGGGCTGTTCCTCCTGCCTAAGCAGGCCTGGCATGCAGCCTTAGCCTTCCCGTTATCTCTCTGGTCCGCCCACATCGCTACCATTCCCTGACTCCCTCACCCACCGTGCACCCTCCTGGCTCCTCACAGGACTGTGGGGAGCACCTCTTGGCTTGGATTTTGAATTGCCTCTCAGCAGCATGTGCTGCACTCTCTTCTTCATCCACACGGAAGCTGCTGGAGGGCAGTGGACACATCATAGCTTTTCCTCTCTAACGTTGAAAACAGACAGTGACTCCAATAAAAATGTGTTGTCTTATTAATTATTCTCACAACAAATCCCTGTAGATGCAAACTGCACTAACACTGATTGAGACAGCATTTTTTCCCAGAGTTGTCTCTTGGGTCAAACAGATACAACAACCCGCCATGCTGTTCTTCTAAAAATAAACCTCCAAACCCTGGTAGCTACATACGGCAGGCATCCTTCCTGGGCTTCATAGGCCCTGGTTCTTTTCTCTGCTGGGATAGCCAGAATGTGCAGGTGCAGAATTACAGCCACTGTTGTGACTTATTCTAAGTGCCACATTTTATTTTGCTGGGGACAAAGCAGTGGATGAGCAGTTTCCCTCCACTTTATCCTTCCTTGTTCAAGAGTACAGTTGAACTCTAAAGCCCTATGCCCGTTCGAATGGGAATGCTGTACAGTGGTGTGTGGTTTAGCATAGACGGCAGTAGATATGTAAAGCAACGTGAAGCATTAGGTCAAGACAATCTACAATCCTACAAGTGCCCTTCATGTAGTGTTCTCACCACAGGATTTTCTCCTATGAGGGTCAATATATGCCAAAAGGCAAACGACGCTGTGTAGGACTGATTTCAAGGGAGGTGGTCACACATGAGCAGGGTAGTGTGGTTTCTCAAGAGATGGAGGCAAAGCTCAGATCATAATGAACCAAAGAATTTCGATTTTATCTTTCAGGTCATGGACAGCCATGGAAAGATTTTAAGAGAAGTTATACTGGAGCATGTGCCAGGGGCTTATTACAAGATTCCAGGTGGGTGGTGATAAGAATCTAAACAAAAATGGTAACGGAGGGCACAGGGAAGCAGGAATATTCCTTTCTGTTCTATGGTAATTATTAAGGGGACTTCGGGCTACTAGGTTACATTGGAGAAATTTCTTTCTTAGAGAATAGCCACCACTGTGGCCAGCAGGCTTGCATGCATCAGGATCCCAGGTATCACAAATGAAACATCCCAGAAATCCTGGGCATCTTTCTGGCATTCTTCCCCCGGACCATACTTTGCAAGGATAGGCTGGACAAATGATGACGCTTACGAAAGTCTCCGAAAGTAATCAGATATGCTGTCTCCCGGTGCCGTGTCCTGCTCATTAACTTATTGTGGAGATTCATTAAACCAGTGTAAAGCTGTAATTAAAAATAATCTCCTTTTCCTGAAGGAGTAGGGAGGGAGGGGGCTTCAGAATGGCGTCGCAAATAACCGGGCCGATTACCACAGTCAGAACATGATGATGGCAATTCACCTTTCTCTCCCTTTCTGCAAATTTCTCTTTATTGGGAAAGCTGCAGGCTTTTGCATTGAACAATTCTCCTTCAAATGTGTATTTTGCATTACAGCTTTTTGGGTCCCATTCGCACCCTTGGTCTCATTTGCTTTTCATACCCTCTCTGTGAGGCCGCCCGTGACTCCTTTTCACAGAGGAGGAAACTATGGCCCAGCACATGTGGAGACACCAGAGTTTTTACAGGACACTGGAGTGTTGCTCTCCTTAATCTTGGTCTGGAGCCCATTCTGCTTCACCAAGCTGACACCCAAAGCTAAACTCTGGCACCTCTGGAGCTGCAAGGTGGATGGAGGGGGCCCTGATCCATGGTGGGCATGTATAGGGGCAGAATCACCACCAAACGCACGTGGAAAATATGAGCTGTGGGATGAGGAAGACCTAGTCTGAATCCATCTACCACCTATGTGACCTACAACAATCACTAAAGATTTCTGGCACTCAGCTTCCTCATCCATAAAATGAGGTTATAATTATCTTTATTCATTCAATAAATATTTTTTGGGCAGTGAGAGACTGTTCTGGATGCTGGAATATAGAAGTGAAGGAAACAAATTCTCTCCCCTCATGGAGGCTATATTCTAGTGGGAAATACAGGGAATGTCTATCTCTTGATGTTGTTCTAAGGATCCAGCGAGATAACCTGGCACGTGGTGTGTGCTCAGGGAACGCTCGCCCTTCCGCCTGCGGTGCCTCCTCCGCAGTGGGGCTCCAAGGAAGGCTGTAAACCAAGGGAGTCTCTTGTACTTTCCATCCTGCCTCCCTTGTGGACTCTCTGCCTCCTGCCCAGAGCCTGTGTCCAGTCTTTGACTATTTAACCCCTTTTAAAGAGAACCCAGACGTGAGTATAAGGTCAGCCCACCCCCAGGAACCGGACTTGTCAACAGGGACTGGAGTAAAGAAATGCCTAGATGACCTGAAGGAATAAATCTGGAAGCTGGATTTCCAGACTGTGTGACAGGCCCTAGGGATTCAGTTTGGCTCTCCTTGCCTCATCTGCATGTCACACCAGAAGGTGGGCATCTGGTGCACAAAGGCAGGTCCTCCATCATAATCACAGAGAGAAGAGCTGGATAGGACATTGGGAAAGTCAGTGCTTTTCCAGCTGAGATTCTGGAAGTCCTAGGGAGCTTCCTAGGAGGCCTCAGGGAGGAGAAGAGAAAGGACCTGTGGGCCCTGAGCTGGTTCCACCCTCACTCTCTACGTCCATCCACTTCAACCCTAACATCAGCGATTTGCAGACCAGAGTCCCAGAAGGATTCTAATGGGGGCCTGCAGCTCTAATTCCCCTGCTCAGTTTTTCCAGCCTGGATCTTGACCTTCCATGAGAAACCCAACCACTGCAGGAAGTAGTCACAAAGTCATGGATGGTAGACTGGAATCGCAGCTCCCGTCACCTGCAGTAGTGTCCCCAGATCCAATCCTCGCCTGACATTGGGGAGATTGTGAATGCCCAAAGTCTTCCCAAGGGGTCAGGAAGGTCCCTGCCCTGCCGCGGAGGCAGGAGGCTGCTCTCAGAGAGTGAAACTTTTCACTCCCCCAGGGGAGCTCAGACTTAAGAGGAAAGGGCCCCTGGGAGAGGGTGCCAAGTACCGGGGATCTTTTCTTTTCCCTGAGGCCAGGGACAGTTGAGGAAGACAGAGGATGAGATCCTGACCCAGTAAAGAAGTCAGGAAAAGAGCAAGGAGAGGAGACATCAGATGCCCCAAAGACAGAGGCCAGTTGTTTAGCACTTGAGTCTTGACAAAAGGCTTCCCCTGGTGTCTACAGGAGGAAATTAACCTTCTCAAATTTGTCCCACACAGCATACTTTAATTCAGTGAAGATTCATTTTGTGCCCAGATGTGCCCAGAGCTCAGCTGGACTCTGGGGACACACAGATGCGGCAGACACAGACCTTCCTTTGAGAAGCTCAGGTCTCCATCAGAAGACAACAAGAATTTGGGGACAGCTAAAGATCAACTGGGAGTCCTTGCTAGTGAGACGCTCTCTGGCACCTGGAGAAATTGATCGACTGCTGTGAGCTTAGAAACAGGCCTCGCAAAGAGAAAGGAACAGGAGTCACCATGACAGAACCTGATCATTCCCTCACACGATCGTGCTGCTTTGTCACAAAAATCCTGTGTGGCAGATACAACGGCTGCTATTATTATTGTTCGCATTTCGCAGAAGAGCAAAATGAGCCTTCGAGGGATTGGATAGCAGCCCAAGGTTGCCTAGTTATGGATGAAGGAAAAGGCATCAAGCTCAGACATAAGGCTTCACTGAGGCTCAAACAAATTTTCAGTAAGGAAACCATTGTACATTCTGAAAGATATAAAAATTTGGACAGCCTTGCTGAACCCCAACAATAAATGCAGTGGGTTTGGTTTCCATTTGACAAGGGAAGGGGGTTGACACAAGAAACTAACACCACTTGAGCTCTACCATGTGCCTGGCACTACACAATGCCACCTGCACGCATTGCCTCTCTGAATCCTCACGCCAGCAGCAGCGTGAAGTAAGCTTCCAGCTGGAATCAGAACCTTAGAGAGGAATTTTCCTGTGACCAGGGATTCAAACCTAGGTCTGGTGGTACCAGACCAGGACTCGCATTCCACACTGGTCACCTTCTGCAGAGAAACCAACCTTGCAGAACAGAGGAAAGGATGGGAATGGGGATTACAAAATCTGGGGGGGGGGGGGGGGGGGGGGGGGGGGGCGGGTGGTAGTGAAGAGAGTAGGGAGAAAGGCCAGAAGGAGTTTTAGCCATTGTCCTAAGAGCCAGACAGGCCTTGAAGTCTTCCCGCAGGAGGTAAGGCAGAGCGAGCCCTGGTGTGTGGCTGGATTTGGCTGAGCTGAGCCCGTGTTGGGGTGGGCGGTGCAGGAAGGGTGGTCTTTCTCAGACCAAACTCCTCCCTCAGCAGGAAGGTTGACCATAACCCACTGATGACTCAGTGGCTGAGGCAAAGCACTTTTGAAGGCACTGCTAGCAAACAGCTTAATTGCACCAGGCCATCCCCACCATCCCCTCAGCAGATAAATAGCTGCCACAGAAGGCATTAATTGGCATGGCTTAAATAGCTGCTGTTGATTTACTGTCACAGGGCAGGCAACGGTTTGTGCCTCCAATAGAGGCCTGGCTGGCTGACTGCTCCCACCCGCTTTCCCTCCCCTCCCATCCAGCCCTCCAACCCCCCTCCTCTCCTTTTGGGAGCAATGCCGGATCAGCGTTTTTATTTTATGTTGCTTGATTTATCTGTTCTACGAAGCTTTCATTTCAACTTGGAGAATGTTCAAAGTAAAGCTCACCCTGTTACAGACTTAATTGGACCATATTTCAGTCCCAGTGCATCTGTTCAGTGTGGCTTCCTTATCCTGGGTCCATAAACTTTTATTAAGTTATATATCAGGGAATATACATATATATTCCCCTAACATGTTTGGGATCTTTTTTCTTTTTTTTCTCCTTTTCTTTTGTTGTTTTCATTTTCACCACGGGGGAGAAATGCTGATGGGCCCCGAGGGAGTTGGAGGAGACTTGCTCTACTTCCCTATCTTTGTTTAAAACAGAGAGGACAGGGTCGCATTAACCTCAATTTAGTGCTGAGACTGGATGTCAGAGTCGGGATTCTGCTAATTTCCGTTTGGTTCTTTGGGTATGTTTGATATGCTAATTCTCAACGCCCGCCTCCCAACCTCTCCAGGAAATTTGCCTTCCAAGAGCACAGCTCACGGGGGAGGGGAGAGAGATAAGGGAAGAACCCAATAATTCTGAAAAAGAAAACAGACTTAAAGCCTTAAAGCCAAACAGCAAAAATTGGTTCCCTCAATTCTGTTTAGTAATTTGAAATATCATTTCAAAATAAATGCAAAAGCACAGCTGGCAAAAGTACTGTGCCACCCCCACCCCGACGGAGAGCATCCCTCTGCCTTTGGGCCCCTGGTGCCTACATTTGACAGCCTGGATTGAAAGCTCTGATTGGTTAATCTTACTAGCGTCACAATTGTTCCAATATTCTGGAACCAAAGTTCCCTCCCTTGAAAGTTGTCTTAGGTCTACTCCAGTCCCCGGATAGAGACCTTGCTGAATTAGGCGGCAGAGGGTAACAGAGGAGGGTTTTCCCCAAAGAAACTCTGGGAAACATAGACCATCAGAAAGTCGCAGAGTGGCCGCATCCCAGCAGCAGTGACGTCCACCAGCGCCATATGAGGAGAGCGTGGTGCTTTGCAACGTGTGCAGCAAACCCAGACTAAGCTCGCATCCACCATTTCTGTGCTGGTGTCCACTGAATGTTAAAAGCTCATCAAAATTCCCGAGGCCAAGTGCATCTCTTTCCAACATCGCTCCAACCTGCGTATATCCATACATGGTACATCTGTCAGCTAATTGGATCTGCTGCTCAGCTCCAGGCCCTCGGAGAGCATTTTCCTGAGAGATGTGTGCCTTCACCTGTGACACTGCCCTCTCTCCACCACTTTGGTTGTGGGTCTATTTCTCTGGTCCTCTTCACTGTGCTGTGGGGGGAAGGGAGCCCTTGCCTTCGTCTCCTCTTCCTCTCATCACCCTGGGGAGCTGTACACACTGTTCTCAGAACCTGGAGGAACACACCCTTCCAGTTCCAAAGGGCTCCCCACATCGCCCACAGCAGTTGACTCTTGGAGACTCTTCAGCTAAAGGCTGTAATGGAAAGAGAACCCACTGGGCCATCAGGCAGGTCTGGGGTAGAATTCCAGCACCACCTCCCTGAGCCTGTGAAATCGGTACAATTAATTCCCCATAGGGTGTCTTGAGGTAGAGAGACAGTCCGTGTAGAAACATTCACTGTGGAGCCTGGCTCAAGGATCGATTAGTAGCAGGATTTTTACCCCATTACTACTGTCTTTACCATTTATTTTGTTATTGTTGTTATTATGTTATACTGCTATTTTACTATTATTTTTCTTATTATTTTAAATATGAAGAAACTGAGCCAAGAGTTTCATTCATCCAATATCAATTTTCAAATTTCGTTTCACTAAAAACGTAAATTGTGCGTATGCACACGACCCTTCACCCATGTACAACCACCATACTCTAAACGCTGGAAGCGGAGTGTGGGCGGAACTTCTGGAAGCACGGAGGAGGACTGGCTAGGTGACAAACTGGGAAAGACATCTGAACAGCTGTGCTATCACAGATGGATTTTGATGAAGGAGCATGTGTTTGCCAGGCAGAAGAGAAATAACGGCATTAAGAATAGAAAGAAAATGATATATATATAAGCCTGGGGGTGAAGGTGCACAATGTGTTAGGGACTATCTAGGAGTTCACTGTGATAGGAATAATGGGTCTGTGAGTAGAAGTGGCTAAAAGGTGAGGCTAAAAATCCAGTGTAGTTGAAGAAATACAAAGGATCATAAGAGAATACTATGAAAAACTATATGCCAACAAATTGAGCAACCTAGAAGAAATGGATAAATTCCTAGACTCATACAACCTACCCAAACTGAATCAGGAAGAAATAGAGAATCTGAACAGACCAATCACAAGTAAAGAAATTGAAACAGTAATCAAAAACCTCCCCAAAAATAAGAGTCCAGGACCAGACAGCTTCTCTGGAGAATTCTACCAAACATTCAAAGAAGATTTAATACCTATCCTTCTCAAACTATTCCAGAAAATAGAGGAAGATGGAGCACTCCCTAATACATTCTGTGAAGCCAACATCACCCTGATCCCAAAACCTGACAAGGACAACACAAAGAAGGAAAACTACAGGCCAATATCACTGATGAACATAGATGCAAAAATCCTCAACAAAATTTTGGCAAACTGAATACAGCAATATATCAAAAAGATTATACACCATGATCAAGTGGGATTTATACCAGGGACACAGGGATGGTTCAACATCCACAAGTTAATCAACGTGATACACTACATTAACAAAATGAGAAACAAAAACCACATGATCATCTCAATAGATGCAGAGAAATCATTTGACAAGATCCAACATCCATTTATGATAAAAACTCTCAATAAAATGGGTATAGAAGGAAAGTACCTCAACATAATAAAGGCCATATATGACAAACCCACAGCCAACATCATATTCAACGGACAAAAGCTGAAACCCATCCCTCTCAGAACAGGAACAAGACAAGGGTGCCCACTTTCACCACTCTTATTCAACATAGTACTGGAGGTGTTGGCCAGAGCAATTCGGCAGGAAAAAGAAATAAAAGGAATCCAAATAGACAATGAAGAAGTAAAACTCTCGCTGTTTGCAGATGACATGATCTTATATATAGAAAACCTCAAAGAATCCATAGAAAAACTATTAGAAACAATCAACAACTACAGCAAAGTTGCAGGGTGTAAAATCGACATACATAAATCAGTAGCATTTCTATATGCTAACAATGAATTAACAGAAAAAGATCTCAAGAACTCAATCCCATTCACGATCCCAACAAAAAGAATAAAATACCTTGGGGTAAATTTAACCAAGGAAGTGAAAGACCTATACAATGAAAACTGCAAGACTCTCCTGAAAGAAACTGATGATGACATAAAGAGATGGAAAGACATTCCATGCACATGGATTGGAAGAATAAACACAGTTAAAATGTCCATACTACCTAAAGCAATCTACAGATTCAATGCTATCCCAATCAGAATTCCAATGTCACTCTTTACAGAAATGGAACAAAGAATCCTAAAATTCATATGAGGCAACAAAAGACCCTGAATTGCTAAAGCAATTCTGAGAAAGAAGAACAAAGCTGGAGGCATCACAATCCCTGACTTCAAAACATACTACTAAGCTACAGTAATCAAAACAGCATGGTACTGGTACAAAAACAGATGCACAGATCAATGGAACAGAATTGAAAGCCCAGAAATAAAACCACACATCCGTGGACAGCTAATCTTTGACAAAGGAGCTGAGGGCCTACAATGGAGGAAAGAAAGTCTCTTCAACAAATGGTGCTGGGAAAACTGGACAGCCACATGTAAAAGAATGAAAATTGACCATTCTTTTTCACCATTTACTAAAATAAACTCAAAATGGATCAAAGACCTAAAGATTAGGCCTGAAACAATAAGTCTTCTAGAAGAGAATGTTGGCAGTACATTCTTTGACGTCAGCTTCAAAAGAATCTTTTCGGACACCATAACCCCTCACATGAGGGAAACAATAGAAAGAATAAACAAATGGGACTTCATCAGACTAAAGAGCTTCTACAAGGCAAATGAAAACAGGATTGACACAAAAAAACAGCCCACTAATTGGGAAAAAATATTCACAAGTTATTTATCCGACAAAGGGCTAATCTCCATAATATACAAAGAACTCACACAACTCAACAATAAAAATCAAACAACCCAATTACAAAATGGGCAGGGGACATGAACAGACATTTCTCCAAAGAAGATATACAGATGGCCAATAGACACATGGAAAGATGCTCATCATCACTAATCATCAGGGAAATGCAAATCAAAAATACACTATGATATCACCTTACACCTGTTAGAATGGCAAAAATATCCAAAACCAAGAGTGACAAATGTTGGAGAGGCTGTGGAGAAAAGGGAACCCTCATACACTGTTGGTGGGAGTGCAAACTGATGCAGCCACTATGGAAAACAGTATGGAGATGCCTCAAAAAGTTAAGAGTAGAAATA